CCCCAGGAGCAGTCTGCCAGCTCCCAGGAGCCTGCCAGGGCCTGGAGAAGGCAGGCACCTTCCTGCTCCAGGGTGGAGATCATGGATCTTATTCAGGTTTGGGGGGATGCCCCCATGTCCATGATCTCCACACTAGACAGAGGTACATGGCTGTCTATGGCAGGATAGCTGTCAGCCTGGCCACCAAAGGCCACATGCAAACCCAGGAGCAGGTCTGCATGACAATCAAGTTAGTCCGGCGAGACCCCCCAACCCTGAGCTTCCCCTCCCTCTTCTTCCCCTTGCTTTCCCCCTCCAGCTCCCTCCTCCCAGGTTTCCCCCTCCCTTCTCCTACCTTCTCTTCTCCCCTTTCATGCCTCCTTTCCCTAGTCTCACCAGAGTTTCATTCCCTCCCCACCAGTTTTGTTAAATAAAGAGAGTTTGTGTTAATGAAAATACGTGTATTTTATTTGACATCAGGAAGGGGGGTTAGAGAGGGGTAAGTGAAAGGACATGAGGGAGGAATGAGGCACAAGCCCCCAGTGGGGCAGACCAGGGAGGCTTTTAGTGCTCCTCAGGATGGAAGCTCTCCCTCAGGACCTTCTGGATACTGACAGCCCCCCAATGGACCTCCTGGATGGCAGCCCACAGAAAGTGCAGCCAGGCTCGCAGCAATGCATCCAAGAGAAGCACCAGAGTGCCCAGGGGCAGCTCAGGCTCCATGTTGCAGAGAGCTGTGGTGTCCCAAGTGAGAGCAACCAGAGCATGCAGAGACAAAATGCTTTGCTGCCCCTCATCAAGGTAGACAAGCAAGCAGGGAAACCTGAGAACTGGCTGTCCAGGGGGTCCCTGTAAGCACAGACCTCAAGCCTCAGGCAACAGCCCCACACAGTAAGTCCTGACCTCGTGCCCTGCTGGAACTGGTCCGGCCAGCCTTAAATGCGATTCAGAGTCCACTCAGTGTGGATGCACTATTTTGAAATGCATTTTGTGTATAGATGCGTTATTTCGAAATAAGATATTTTGAAATAACACTGTAGTGTAGACATACCCTAATTGCCTACGAATGGTTCTTATCTGCCTCTTTTGACTATCCAGTCTTTAGGTGCTTATAGACTATTTGTTTTTCCTGTTACTTTCCAGCTCAGCTTTCCCGTTGATATTTTTATACCCACTGCCTCTTCATGTTTCCCCCCCTCCCATTTTTTTCCTTCTCTTCTCCCCTCCCCCTACTCTCTTCTCCCCTATTTATTTTAGTTCTGGACATCCAACATTCTGGTCATCTTAATAATTGCAGGCAGCTGGTTACAGAAACTAGTTCCACCAAGGTTAGTATTGCACTCTGGCCTCACTTATCAGTGTGAACACCTCGCTCACATGACCAAGCGTATAACTTTGCCCACATCAACAACTTAGTCATCAGCAAGGGCTAGGGCAAGAGAGTGACAATGCTAAAGGGCTCAGCACACACTCTATCACTGTGACTGTGGCTCTGCACAACGTTTCCATTGCTTTCTGTGAATCAGCGCCTTCAGTCTAATTTCGGCTGCTCTGACAAGCTGGCAGGCAGATTGCACTCAATGAGGAAGGCCTCTGTTCCCTGCATTCTCTTTCTCCCACCCTCTGTGGCTTCAGCTAGTAAAGCAAGACACACTGTTGTTGGTACCTAAATGAACCCAGATCTTGCTGAAGGCCAGATATCCAAGAGTGGAAGCCATTGGACCATGGCAAACCCTGTAAGCCGCGATACAAGATTCTTTATCATGCAGCGATAAGAGGCATCAACTGGGCAGGTTTCCGTGTGAGGCTCAGCACTGAACATGGGAGGAGAAGTGAATACTTAGGCTATGTCTACACTAGCGGCTTCTTGTGCAAGAACATCTTGTGCAAGGGTTCTTGTGCAAGAAGTCTTGCGCAAGAAAACGTCCACACTGCCATGTGTGAGCTGTGCTTTTGTGCAAGAGCGCCCATGGCAGCATGAACGTTCTCTTCCGCAAGAAAGCTCTGATGGCCGTAGGGGTTTCTTACGCAAGAAATGGACCACACTGCCCTCTTGCGCAAGAGCTCCTGCGCAAGAGGGCTTACACCTGTTAGAAAAGAGCGTGCTCTTGCGCAAGAAGCCCTCTCTTACCACGCTGTACTGTAAATTTCCTTGCACAAGAGCAGGCAGGCAGTGTGGACGCTTTCTGGAAGAACAGCCATTCTTGTGCAATAACCTGCCAATGTAGACATAGCCTTAGCGCCTCCTGAGCAAAGCAGGGTCCCAGCAGTTCCTCAACGCACCCATGGCCCTGGGCTTCTATATGGGAACAGTGAGGTTCTGGTCTCTTACCCCTACCATTCCCACAGCCCGGCTACTCTTTTGCCTCTGGGTGGTGCTTACTATATAACCACATGAGTCTATACTAGAACTAATCTTCATAGCACTTTACAGATATGAACAAATTGCTCCTAACACCCAACTGTGAGGCATCCCCAGGTATCTGCCGTCCACTTATTCTAGAAGAGGAAACCAACGCACAGACAGGTAAAGTGATTTGCTTAGAGCTTAGAAGGAGGCAGTATTGGAGC